CTGAGATGTAGAAAGTTCCCGATCATGTGCTGTTCCTTCCGCACAAACTCCCAACAGCCTTGTCAAAATTGTGTGGGTTTCCTTGGTCTCAAGCAGTCCAGGCCGGCTTTGAATTTGCTCTGTAGCTGAAAGGTCCTCCTGCCTCTGCCTCCTTAGCACCGAGATTATAGGCCTGTCTACTTATTTATTTACTAACTTATTTATTTATTTATTTACTATTCCTGCCCACCCTGATCATCTTCTTGGTATCTTTTGATTTGGTTTAGATTTTTGGTAAGCTACACCCAAACTCCCAAATATTGTTTATAAATGTTTACATTTAAAGGGAGATATTCTATAGAGATTTGCATTTGTATGGATCTTGGTTTATTGATACAAATTTAAGGCCAATTTTGTTATTGAAAGACCCCAACCCTAGTCTCCATCTTAAGATGTTTTTGTGATCAAATAGGCCAGGGAAACACAGGCAGTCTTGAGACCCTTGAGACCGGCTACACCTGTCAAGGGGCAAAAGCAGGACACCTGTGGGCAGCAGAAGCAGCCTTGAGAAAAACACCCAGTCCTTTGTGTATCGAAGCCCAGGGGGGCAGAAACGGGCTGAAACTGGCTTAATTTAGACTTGTTTTTATCCTGTTAAACTTGTTTTGGTCCTGTTAGACTTGTTTTTGTTCTGATGTTGGTTCCCCCCCCCCATATGTTAATTTGAGTTGACCAATGATGTTGCTGTTGCTATGGTTCCCCGTTTTGTAACCCTGAGACCTTATAAATGCTTGCTGGAAAAACACTAAGAGGGCTCAGTCTCTCTGGAGTATTGAGTCCCCCATTGGCACCTTTGACATTAAAGAATCCTTTTGCTGTTTGCATTCATTGGCGTGGCTTATTGAGTCTGGGGGATCCTTCCCTGAACCCTAGAAATTAGGGTCTTTCAGTTATATGTATATTTCTGCTCTTGATTAAGAGTACAGCTCTTAATTGTGCAGCTCATTTAAAAATTTAATATATGATTAATAAATCCAGGTTAGTAGATACTTATCTATACTAGGAAAACTTGTAGTCATGTTAGTTAAGTTTTCTAGATATATAGAAATATGTTTTGGTTAGACAGATAATATTCAAACCTTTCAAAGACCTATGGAATATGGTATTTAAAATGTTTTAAAAACTTCTTGATGCCAGGCGGTGGTGGCGCATGCCTTTAATCCCAGCACTCGGGAGGCAGAGGCAGGCAGATCTCTGTGAGTTCGAGGCCAGCCTGGTCTACAAGAGCTAGTTCCAGGACAGGAACCAAAAGCTACAGAGAAACCCTGTCTCGAAAAAAAAAAAAAATTCTTGACAATGAGACACATCTGCTCCTGGCAGCACCAATCTACTTCAAGAGAATGATGGGTATCAAGGAGGCTCCTTATAGAGTTGATTAGACATTTGGGCAAGAAACTGCTCTTGTCTGCTACTTGATGTTATGCTGAATAAACCGGACATGCAGGACCCACAGAAAAATGACTGCTGAACTTGCATGAAGGTGAGATGGTCTTTCGGGGTTCCTGCTTCATAAAAGAACAAAACAAGTCTACAGGACACAGAAAAAAAGTGACTGATAAACCACCAATATAGGTGGAACTGTCTTTAAAATTTCCTGCTGCATGGAAAAGTCTGCCAAACACTATGGGCCTGTAGGCTGATGAGATATTAAAAATGCACATAAATGAGAAATTAAGTAAACGTTAGAAGGAAGAAGAGCTATTACTGGGTCAGCTGCTCGGCCGTCATGGCTGACAGTGGAGCCTAGATGAGCCTCTTTTTTTTTTTTCTTCATCGTTCTTTCGGAAGCACGTCTCCCCGTGTAGCCAAGGAAAACTTTGCACGCCCACTCCTCCGGCCTCCACACCCACAGCCTGGGATCACAGTCACGGGATTACACGCCTAAAGCTGCCTGTTCAAAAATCACTTAGAGCTATTTTCTCAAAAATCCTTGATGTGATTGTATACATACGTTAACTGCTGACACATGGACAGTTGTTTTTGGAAGCCCTTCTGCTAACTGTCCTTCCTAAATGACTTTCTTCCCGACAGCACGCCCCACACTGGCCTCCAGGGGGCTCTGCAGCACCGCGCAGCTGTGTCTGAGCTGGACACTCCCCTAGGACTCTGTTACATGGATTTTCCTGTAAGTCTTAGGCTTGTGGCCAGTAAAATCGCTGAGGGCACTTGTCACCAAGTCTGACAACCTCAGTTTGTTCTCTTGAAAGTTATCATCTGATCCCCACAAAAGCATACACGTAATTTTAAAACTTAATAAAAAGTTCTTTCTTTTTCTTTCCATATATGTGTGTTTGCCTGCCTGTGTGTATGTACAATCTAAATACATATATAATTTGTCTACACATACATATATGTGTGTTTCCATGAAGAGGCCATGTATCCAGCCAGCCCCAGAAAATGGCAGAACTTGGCAGCTTCGGCCACATGGTTCTGGATTTAGAGTTAAGGACAGAAGCAAGGATTTATGGAATAAAACCGCTGAGGCCAGGCAATGTGTTGGGGTGTCCCTGAATGGAGGCCCAGAGAGGCCATTGTGTGAAGCTGTGAAGGAGAAGTCTGGATTGCCTTAGGGACCCCAAGGTGTTAGAGATGCCAGGGTCATGGCATACTTGCCGAGGAGAGCTGCTAACGGAGTGGAAACAGCCCAAGGGAAAGAAGTGTGTTGCACTCAACAAAGAGGAGCAGAGTTGGAGGTCTGAAGAGTGCTTTGACTTCAGACATGGAGATGCAGAGGAGACGCAGTTTGGAGTTTTCCCATCTATCTGGTTTTTGATCTTACTTTGGTCCAGTATTTCCTCACTATTCTCCCTCCCCTACATTTTGGAATGGTAATGTATGTCCTGTGGCATTGTATGTTGGAAGTATGTGACCTGTTTTTTGCTTTTGATTTATGGGGAATTATAGCTAAGAGATCATAGGAGCCTCAGAGGTGACTTTGCACTTTGGACTTTTAAACGTTGCTGAGACTGTGATAGACTCTGATGGCTTTTTAAGTTGGACTAAATGCACTTTGCGTTACGATATTGTTACAAGTTTGTGGGGGCCAGGGAGTAGAATGTGGAGGTTTGAATGTGGTTGGCCCAGTAACCTCAGAGTGAGTGGCACTATTAGGAGGTGTGGCCTTGTTGGAGTGGGTAGTATTTGGTTGGAACCAGTTCACTCTTGCTTGATCTGGGAAGTCCTGTTCCTCTCTCTCAAACCCTGCCCTCTCAGAATCTCCAACAAAGAAAAGGCACCAAAAGGCCCAGTTCAGCATTCTTGGCCCCCGAGGGGGCTCCTCCCCTGAAGTTGCCAGCAGCCCAAGACCCCACCGAAAGCAGTCAGTTTTGACCATTGTTGGGCACAAACCCGACTTGTGGCAGACAGTCATCATCCCTCAGCCTGAGCTCCCTGCTTTAGGTAAGGTGCATCCTGCCCCGATCTCTGGGGCTGGAGAGCTCACCAGGAGTTTGCTTTTGCTCAAATAAACCTGTTCTTTTGTTCTTTTATTTTTTCAGTTCGGCTTGATCTGGCTTACTGCACTGGTGGAGAAGCCTATTATTGTGACACAGAAAACCTAGTAGGTATGGCCTTCCACTAACAAGTGTGGCACTGTGGAGTGAGTGGGCTTTGAGGTGCCCTATGAGCAGGCTATCCCCCAAACCTGCAAGATGAAGGGACCCCCAGCTACCACTCCAGCACCTTGTCTGCCTGCAGACTGCTGTGGTCTCTGCCGTGATGATAATTTACTAAGCCTCTGAACTGTAAGCAAGTCATCCTAATTAAATGTTTTACTTTATAAGAGTTGACACGGTCACGGTGTCTCTTTACAGCAATAGAAACCCATATAAGATAAGCACACCTACAGATACAGCTTTTGATGTCAGATGGGAGCAGATGAAGGTAAGGAGGACAAAGAGGAAGCTAGGACTTAGAGACAGGCAGAGGGCTGAGGGGAACACAAGAAGGGACAGAGCAGTCAAGGACTTCAGGAACAGGACTGGAGTGCCAATGTCCTGCAAGAAGGGAAAATCGTGACAGATCTGGTGTGGCTACTCTCAGGTTGCGCCGAAAAATCCTGTAAGTGGGATTCTATGCTAAAGTACAGAAGGAACCCTCAGGTCAGAGACCCCTGATAATGAATTGTGCTGAACCCTCAGGATCCCAGGTGGCGCTGTTAACCTGACAATGTCTTGTTCTTTGACATTTTATTTCAAAGGGGGAAATCACTGTGGGGAGCAGCGGGGACCTGGCCTGCTAACGGAGATAAGAGAATGTGTCAAGTTCCCCCTGAGGAGCAGCGGAGGGCTGAACCCTGAGACCCAACACTTGAGGCGGGGTTCACATAGTCTGGGTCCCGCCCTTAAGGCTTTGGAGTATAGCGGTGGCATCCCAGCTGTCTGCCCAGACCTTTTTTTATGGCACTTCTCGTGTGTGTCTGCCGATCCGATCCGTGAGGGCACAGCCGGCAGCGTCACACAGGAAACTTCCAGTTGTGGGTCCTGGCTGCGTACTGCAGGACAACGGAGTTGGGGCATTGAGGCAGTTGCACTACAACTCCCAGCAGGCTTCGGAAAGTCGCAACCCACAGCTCACAGAGCTGAGCCCCAGTGCCTTATAGGAAGTGTAGTCCTAGATCCCGGAGGCTCGCCCACAAATCCATAGGGACAAGGCAGGGAGTTGCAAAGCCTTGAAGGCGCTTGGGAAAAGGCATTTTCAGCTAAATGTGTAGTGCTAGGCGCCAACATGGGGCCAGAACACCCAGTCACCTCAGGTCCAGCTCATCGGGAAATGAGCCCAGAGGGCCGCTGGAAGCTCCCTTGGCTCACACGAATGGGTATGCTCCAGAGACTTTTGGCAGGAAGCCTTCCAGGTCAGGGGAGGGAAAAGGAGGAAGGCTTGTCACATCAAAGGGACAGCCCATGGCCCCAGGGAGTCGTTGGAGGCTCATTTTTGTGACCAATGGCCCAGAGGTTCTCTCATCAGGACCCAAAGCCGCAGAGACTCCCGAAGCACAGAAAGTTCCCGTGCTTCTGGCCACAGGTATTCATTATCAGAGTTGCTACTCCTGAGCTCACCTGAATAGCCTTCAGCTTGTTCTGGAAGCGCAGGATAAGCTCTGGCCATTTCTCCGTGGTGAGAATGTGGAGTTTCTGAGGAAAAGGAGGAGTGAGGATGGGGCTCTCTCCCTTTCTCTCCCGTCAACCTCGGCAGCTTCCGCTCACCTTGCCTTCGTACAGGATTTGATGCACTGGGCAGATCTGACAAACGGTGCCTGAGCCAAAGATTTCCCGCAAGCGGCCCTGCTCCAGCGCCCTGCGGAACAAAGGGACAGAAACACTGTAATCCCCAGACTCCTGCCCTGCAGCCGACCACCGGCACTCTCTCCCTAAGGCTGCTGGGAAAGACAGGTCTAAGCATGGGACAGGGAACAGGGGACATGGCAGCGGGCCCAACTTCCACCACAGCTCCACAGCTCAGGGCTGTGGTCCCAAGATGCAGGTGCCACCCATGCCCTACCCAAGACCTAGCCAGATCCAGCAGGCTTAGTCGTACCACTGCAGGCACGATGAGGCCATCCAGTGCCGGGGTTGCCAGCTCCAGTACTAAGTCAGGGATGACAGATGGATGTCTCTGCCTCCCACCCTTAAATGACCTCCCTTTCTCTTAGAAGCAACCTGCCCAGGACCCGGAGACCGTATACCCCTGTAGGAATTGGGCAGGTCATCATACAGGGTGTGGGTTGGGTCATGGGTAGACACACTCCCGTCCTCGTGTGTTCTGAGAGGACCTGAGTAGCCTCCCTGTATGGTCATACTTCCTTGTTTTGATATGCCAGTAGCCTGCACCTGGTCTGCCCTCAGGAGGCTCAGGCACCTCCTCATAGTATCCTGTGCCAAGGCCTTCAGCAATACAGAATGGTGGGCCCAGAGGATCAGAACGGGAACTGAGGTGTGGTGGCCCCTGTGTGACTCAGTTTCCATCTGGAGTCAATTCTGCCTTATAAGTCCAGTGGCAATGCCCACCTCATTCCCAATCAGCACAGGCCGTACACAGAGGCTGCTTCCATGGCCGTCAGGAACCCAGTCTTTGTCCACTTCAATGAGCCGGCGGATACACTCCAACAGTTCCTGCTTGTCAAAGTCCTGGGTGGATCCCGTAGGAGTCAGGGCTCCAGATTCACTCAACCACCCTCTACCCTCTCTCCTTCTAGAGCAGACTGGCCACTCACTGGCAAGCAGAGGCGCCTTAAAGAACGTAGCAACCTCTCCGTGTTGAGCCATGGCCGGAAGAGGCATACCTGCTGGTCCCTTCCCTTGTATGCTTTGAAGCCTTCAAAGAGCTGCGGTGATACAGGTGAACAGGGGAGCATTGTTCCACAGCATAGCAAGAGACACATCTGTACAGACAGAGACAGAGAAGGACAGAGGGACAGAGACACAGACGTGGAGACTTCAGAAAGCACAGAGCAAGGCAGCTGTGGCGTTTCAGCCTATTAACTCAGCTATGCCGAAGGAGCACCATCACGCTTGGTTAAGGCAGCTTTAAGGGGAGCCTGGCACACAGGGTAAGATGGTGTCTCAGAATCACCCCACGCATGGAAAACAAAGCTCATCTAATATACAAAGTTCTCCTACACCGTTTTAAAAGTCTATCCTAGGGAGCTGGAGGAATGGTCCATTAGTTAAGAGCTCCGGCTGCTCTTCCAAAGGAACCAGGTTCAATTTCCAGCCCCTAAATGGTGACTCACATTTATGGTACATGAGTAACTCAGTACCAAGGGATCAGGTGCCCTCTTCTGGCCTCTGCAGGGACTGCATGCACAGCGATACACTGACACAAAAACTCAAACACACAAAATAAAAATAAGTCAGGAGGTGGTGGCACACGCCTTTAATCCCATCACCTGGAAGGCAGAGGCAGGCAGATCTCTGTGAGTTCGAGGCCAGCCTGGTCAACAAAGAGAGTTCCAGGACGACTAGTGATGTGGGAGTGTCATATATCAATCTGTTGATTTCATTGGCTGAGCAATAAAAGAAACTGCTTGGCTGGCCCTCAGCTTAGAACATAGATGGGAGGAGTAAACAGAATAGAATTCTGGGCGGAAGAGGAAGTGAGGTCAGTCTCTGCTCTGCTCCCAGACAGACGCCATGCTCAGCTCTCCCGGGTAGACGCGATAGCTCTGCTCTCTGAGGCACACGCGAT